TCCTCCTCATCCCCCCCTCCATGTTTCGACACTCCGCCATAGCGCCGCGTTTGGGGAAGGTCTTCAAGAGGGTCCCAACAACTTCCGAAACGCCCAACGTCGTTTCCAAGACGGCTCCCAAGCGCCCCAAGACAGCCCCAGGACGGCCCAGCGAGGTTCCCAAAACGGCTTCCGACGGCGTCAGACGGGCCAGGAACGCCACAACACGGCCTGAATCCAGACCCCGCCCGCCATCGCAAACCATGTTCTCTGCTGATGCGCATGGGTGGTGTTAACCAGGGAGCAGGAGGGAGGGTGCAGGGATATGCAGAGAGAGAGCGAATGGATTGAGGGAGTGCTGGGTATTGAAAGAAACTGGTCCCGCGGACCTCTTGGGGCCGTCTTGGGGGCCTCCTGGGCCGTCACGTGGTCATCATGGAGGCGTTTTGAATGATCTTGGGGCGATGTTGGGGGCCTCTTGGGCCGTTTCGACCCGTCCGGAGGCCGAAACTATGCCACTGCCAACATCATATCATTCAGAAATCAGTGACATTGGTCTCTTCCGGCCTTCTTGGGGGGCCCTTTGGAGGCCTCCTGGGCCGTCATGCACATTTCTTAGGGGCCTCTTTGGGCGTTTTGGGTCAGTTTGCGGCTACGTTGGGCCGTCTTCGTGGCTTCTTGGGCGGACTTGGGGGCACCATGCGGTCATCTTCGGCCCTCTCGGGGTAACCTTGGCCGTCTTGGAAGCCACATTGGCAGTCTTGGAAGCAATTTTCCCCCCAGCCTGGGGCCAACCGGAGTAACCTCTCTTGCGAAGGACCCGTTCATTTGCAGTTGTGAATGCCGCCGTTGTGAGTATCGTCCTCGGTGGAGCTCCCTATGGGGCCACGAAGCGTGTGGGGCGTGTGCAGTTATGGTGGTGCCATGCGAACCTTGTCACTGGGGCCGTTGGCGGAGCTCCCTATGGGGGTGCGCAGAGATGGTTGCGGCGGTGCCATGCCAACCCTGCCGGTGGAGCCTTCGGTGGAATTCCCGATGGGCACGCGAAACATGTAAGGCTGGGTGTGCCGAAATGAAGGCGGCGGTGCCATGCGAACCCTGCCACTGGGGCTTTCGGCGCAGCCCCCTATGAGGCCACGCAGCGTGTGAGGGGTGTGCCGAAATGTCGGCGGCGGTGCCATGCGAACAGGGCCTTCGGTGGAGCTCCCTACGGGGCTGCGGCGCGTGTGAGGTGTTCGCCGCAATGGAGGCGGCGGTGCCATGCGAACCCTGCCACTTGGGCCTTCGGCGGAGCTCCCTACGGTGCCACAAAACGTGTGACGGGTGCGCCGACATGGAAGCGGCGGCGGATCTTGCATATCGCACGCCACTATCGCAGACGGTTCGGCCGAGGAGGGCTGTCGTGACCGCGTGCTGGAAACGGGTTGGTTCTTCGTGGGCCATGTGACCGTTGCGGCAAAACCAGGATGCCGCCACACACGTTATCTTATATGCCACGTGTGTTTCATCTTCTCCATCCCACAGCCGTCGTCCAGTCCTAGCTCCCACCCCGCCGTGGCCTCCCGCCACGACCCCCGAGGACGAGGCCAGGGAGGGAGCCAGGGCGATGGCCCCTAGTGGCCCGTTCTAACCTCCAAGAAGATGTCTGTATCCATCGCGGGCTCAGAAGGCTGTCGCGCCCGCGGTGGGTCTCAAGTGCCGAAATGGAGGCGGCGGTGCCCTGCGAACCCTGCCTCTTGAAAAGGCTGCCAATGCGCCATAAAACCACGCGTCGAACACCGCCAGTTCTTTGAGGGTGACCTCCCGGATTCCGAGGTGAATTTCGATGTGGGTTGCAGGTGGATTTCGATATGGATTTCGAGATGTCGAGGTGGATTTCGATGCCGGATTCTGACGCGGATCCACACGTGAATTTCTGAGAGGACGAGTGAGATTTCGATGTTTTTTGACGACCCTCTCACACTTCGCCGCCCCCGCAGCGCCACCAGAAATCCACGTCGGAATCCGCATCGGGATTCACATCGATATTCTGGGCCTGTCCCGACCCCTCCCCTCGCCCTCGGCCACAGGCTGTCTTAGTGCGCGCCGAGCGCCCCGTCGCCCCGTGTCAGCGCAGTCAAGCAAGGGGGCGGCCGTCTTCGGAGATGGGCGCGCCGCCCGCTCGAGGAGCGGCCGTCTCCGGATACGGGGTCTTTGCGGCGGCGCGCCTGCCCCCGAGAAGACCGCCGAGGGCGTTGGGGGCAGCGGCGCGAAGCAGCGGCCAAAGAAGGGCAGCCCCAGCGAGGTCCAGAGGGCAATGGGCATGTTTTCGCTTACGAAGGCGGGCGACTGAGTTGAGGCATTCGTTCGCAGGTGGCACTTGTACGGGTGTTGGCACACGCGTGAGGCATGGCATGCACGCGTGCAAGTGTATGTATATGCGGTCGTGCGCACAACCTGTCATTATCTATGGCCTTCGGCTCATCCGCCGCCGCATCTGGGCCGTGGGTCAGGGACCTCTGAGGTGTGAGAATGGATCTCG